AGAAGAAGAAGAAGAAGAAGAAGAAGAAGAAGAAGAAGAAGAAGAAGCAGCAGCAGCAGCAGCAGCAGCAGCACATTAAAATCTGTCAAAAGTCTATAAGATATTAGGAAATAATATTCCAAGCAATCTTAATGTGTTAAACTATATCCTGCTGCTGAACACAATTAAAAAAAAACTTAGAAAGTGGTAATTGCTTAATTTATCTGTTTTGGGCAAAATAGCTACTCTGTTATCAGTATTTCAAAGTTGTTTTCTTATTTCCAAAATATATCAATATATCTGAATTCTAAGGTCTTGAACTCCTGGCAACAAATTTTATACAATTAGTGCTTAATAGAAAAAAGACTGAGAATAATAAAACGCCTATTATTTTTGAAATCTTAAAAAGGAGGATGAGGCTTTCCAAATATAAACATACTATACATCATTTCAACTCAGACAATATTTGTTTTGGGTAGAAAACTCAAAATATAGAAGATGGGCACAAATGGAGACTAAGTGGTTGACAAATCAAAGAACAGCACTGATACCTTTTCTGAAAGCAAAAAATATAAAATGGATAAGCTCAACACGTATCAACAGGTTTCTTGACTGTGCTTTGAAGATTTGGAAGTACTGAGGGAAAAATGAGTTCCATCTTCCTCCCCCTTAATGTCAGTTATGGGTTATGATTCTTTTCCAAATAATTTAGCAGAGCTATTTAGTAATATACGGAGGCAGCAAAACTTGTTTAGTGTAGATTGAGGGATTATTTTACAAATAATCAAGTAATGCCAGAAGATTTTTTTAAAGTAGAAATTGTCATATATGGACTTTAATTGGTTACCAGTTAACAAAACGAGTTATTTTGTTAGAAACATAATACATAAGATGACGGCATTGCGACTGCTTTGAAAATGTTATGTTAGAACTTTCAAAGTTTTCTAAATGTCTAATATCCAAAATATATAATATCCGGTTAGAAATTGTTGGATTGGGATCACCATCACTCAGAGAAATATGGGAATCAGATTTAAGATACAGGTAGTCCTTGTTAAGCGACTACAATTGGTACTGGAACTCAATTGTTAAGCAAAGCAGTCACTAAGTGAAACCACGACTGGCCTTGTGATCTTACTTCAGCTTTCCTTTGTTTTACAGACCTGCAAAGGTTGTAAATGTGAGGACTGGTTACAAAGTTACTTTTTCATCACCATGGTAACTGCGAAAGGTCACTGTATGAGGCAATCGCTAAACAAGGACTATCTGTATAATATCTCAGACACACAATGGGCTATACTTTGGAAGAACCCCATATTATGTTCCATATCAGCAAAGATCAAGGAAAATTGCATAAAAGTGATTCATAGGTGTTATTATACCTCCATGCAAGTAACTACAATTACTGGGAAAGGCCCATATAAATGTTGGAAGTGTGATGAAGCAAAGAGCACCTGTGAGGCTGCAGAAAGATTCTGGTCAGAAATGATTAGGAAGATTCATAGTATGGATACAGGAAAATTCAGTTTCCATCCCAATGTATATTTATTTAGTGAGACAACTCAAAATATTAAAGATAAGATAACCTTTCAGTTCAAGGCTGGCTATAGTACAATATCGGAAAAATCCAGAGGCTTCATCTCTGGTATGAAAAACTGTAGAAAATTGTTGTAATTGACGTACAAAAGATGTGAGGTGTTGGTATATATGTCTTGTTTACTCAGTATATACAAAATTTGCTGCTGGAATTTTGACTTGTTTTAGATCTTTTTAATATGTTGGTAGTTTTTTTAAACCAACCAAGTATTTTTAAACATGATTAAGATATATGAGTTTGCTGAGAGATCTTATATTACTTTTTTCTCTAATTGCTTACTGGAAGTATCATGTGACCATGGTATCAGGCTTGGATTTTTTGCTGTTGTAGATTTTAAATTAAAAATCAGATTTATCAGTGAATGTACTGGTGCTTCTGGTGGTGTTAAACCTGAATTGAGTGTTTAACCATGGCATATTGTAAAGAAACAAACAAGTCATAATCATAGTTTGTTTAACCAATTCCTTCTCAATTATTACTGCTAGGAAAAGTGGGCAAAATACAAAAACAAACCAGGAATAAGCCAGGATTGATAAACCAGCAGTAAATCAGTGTTTCAACTTGTGGTTAATTGACAAAAAAGCAATTTTTCAAATGAAATGGACTTGTATTATGCCAAAGAAACTAAATTATGGTTTACTATGAAGTGCTAATTGTCACAGACACATTTATGATGAAATGATGATGATGATGATGATGGTTAGTCGCACAGTCAGCCAGATGCCTAGATTGGATTTGGCATTTTTATCCACCTATCAAGTCCTCCCCAAGGACCTGGGATAAGCAGATGTTGTTTGATGGTATTAAAGGTATTGTCGCAGGATGTAAGCTGTTTCAAGTAAAGCTGCTTTTGCAATTATCATTATCATTATAATTATCATGATGATGATGATGATGATTTAGAAACAGAGAGCATATTGCAAACCAAATTTCCCTAAGTGATAATATTTTTTTCATTTCATCATGACCTCTGACTTTTCCTTTGGAATAACAGTATTTTATGTTGGACTTTCAAGCAAAGTACATTATCTATAACAACTCTATAAGAGGGGCCAATACTCTTCTCACCCCATAGTGCTCAAAAGGACTGAGGCTAAAAGAAGGCTGGCTTACTAATTGTCACTTGCTGAGTTTCTTACAAGAACAGCATTTCATCTGGGAGCCTCCTTCTCATGTTCAGACTTCGTTTTGGAGGTGCTGGGATTTGCTTTCAGAAAAGCTTCCTGTATTCATGCCCAGCTCAAACTTTGCCACCAAAGTGCTTTTCATACCTGTCCTTTTCAGATGGGATAAAATCAGACACAAAATACAAAGTAGGGAGGAGTCACGAAGGACTGTTAGGAAATACATGCAAGAGTATCGGTGTGGTAATCACTTGAAAGTCAGCTTGAAAGTGAAAAGTTCTTTGCAAGGTTTTGATACATGAAGCTGTGTCAAAGTAAAGCTTACCTTCCAATGGCTTCGGTAGAAAATGAGCTGCTGGTTTTGTTTTCTTCACTCTATTGCCTTTCATGACTTGCCCTTCTTTATTGAGCCCCAAGAACCAGGCCCTACCCGACTCTTGCTGTCTGTAGAGCATCGATGAGTAGATTACATAATAATTTTCAAAAACAGACTCCTTAAACTTACATTCTGGTGTAAAAAGTTCCTGTGAGAGAAAGAAAAGAGGTTAGAGGAAAATCCCAACAAGTGGCTATAGTTGTTCTTAGTATTAGTTGTTAGTATCCTGGTTGTGAAGTTTAACCCATGTGGTAGTTGCCCAGTGCCACAATACTGGGGATACCTTGGCAATTAAATCCATTTTTTACTTATTGGACACATCCATTAAATGAAATGAAAATCAGTTGTAGAGTGAAACAATGAATAACTTATATAGTGGTGCAACTAGGTCATTGTAGACTCTGGACTTAAGGATCTTAAACCATATTCATCCACCAAGTAGCTATGTAAATTATTTCATCTGTGATGCATAGTAGTTATATTTCCCTTCTCCTGTCCAGCCCTGTTCCATCTTTGAACGCTCTGCCCCTGTTTCTGAAGTGTTAAATCCACAAAGACCGAACCAAGAGATGGAATGAAATGATGTTTGTTTCTGCTGCCTGGATGCTAAACACATTTACTCAAAATAAGCACATTTTATTGAAGAATTGGATAACATGCATTTAAAGTAAAAATGAAATTGCACATCAAGCCATATACGGAGCAAATAGCTGCCCTATGACTATAAAATGTTTGAGTTTTTTTTTAGCCAGACATAAAGGTCACGCTTTTGCTACTTCCTCCCAGCAATAGGGAAGGGGTGGTGAATTTTGGCTCCAGCCACAACCCTGCACTTGGGACCAACAACATTTGAAACATATCAAAAGCACTATGAAAGCAATGGTGTCCATTAAAAAAAAAAATCTTTCTGTCCATTTTTCATTCTAAGAGAAAAGAGTTACCATGCAGTTGATTTATAAAAGGACAATCACTGAAGGTTACAAATGAAAATTGCTCTATCAGGAGCATATTTCTATATAGCATTCCTAGCAAAAGATTTTTGAAAGCTACAAGAACTTGAGCAAACTTGCTAAGAAGGATCCTTCACAACTGTGATTCATTGTCATTCAGCTGTATTTGGCTGCTCAGCAACCAGCTAGGAAGAATTATATCTACAGCAAAGCAAAAGCATCAGGGTCTAAAGCTCTCCTGTGCATTTACGTTTAAGAACATTAAATGCAATTTAAGACTTTTCAGTTCAATTCACTTAAAATCATTTTTTATTAACAATGGGCTGTTCTTACACTTGAAATGAAGGAACTGTAAGTAGCTCAACAAGACCTAAAACTTCCACTGAATTATTTTCTAAGACAATTGTACACATTGAAAAGGAGTGAGTAAATTATCTCTTTACAGCAGACTTTAATGCTGCCATACTGTAAGACTACAAATGTATAACAGAAGGTATTTCATACCTGTATCAAGGGAAAAGCTAAAGGAGAAATCTGTTTTTCTTCAAGATTGTGAAAAGTGAGAGGGGGAAAGGAAACAAAAAGGCACCTTTCTCCTCTCTGCACTTATGGGATACCTTAGAAAGGCTATGGATAAGGTGGTGCCCCTCATTAATGCTACCCAAATATTAATGGATAAGAAATTCAATACCACAATATTTTTCTTAATTACTGAGAGAGTCCAAAATTTCAGAAGGCTAGATCTCTGGCAAACTGGGATGCTTTATTTACTATGAAGAAACATGAATAAGTCCAACTAGAATTGAGTACATTTAAGTTTTAAAAAAAATTAATGGAAGTTATTTATCCATATGCTTACTTCTATTGCCAAAATCAATAGGATTTCAACACGCTTAATTCTGCTTCTATTATCTATGCATGTGCATAAATAATTACAAACATCTTTGGAAAAATAGACAATAAAGCCACACTAGAATTAAGTACCAAAGGTTGATAGATAACTTTTCCTATTTCTCAAAACTTTCAGCAAAAATGAGTAACCACATGAACACTGCCACAGAGATGACAATAGGTACCAATTCGAATAAAACTCTCTAACAGAATCTAGAAAGACTTTAATTAAATACAATACACATTTTAAAAAGTGTAATGCATCTATGAAATATTTTTAACGTCAATTCTTGATGACTGACTGACATAGATTTGAAGGACATTTTGTACCATAAAAAATTTCAAGATGACTCATTAAATTCAATTGCCAAATCCTTTTCCCAAGTTGTATAAAGCCTTCCAGAAGAGCCCATCATGTTTGATATATGGGTTTTGCATATTAAAAGGTTCTTTTGGTTTTACTCCAGGCTTCAAATATTGTTGAAGTTCTGTGGTAAGATCAAAGTTCAGAAGACCTGATTGCATATGTCTCAGCATAAAGCAGATTGGACTTGTGACCATTTCTGTGGGAAGATACATTCAACAGAAACAGATTTACTATCAATAATCAAGCCTTTAAGCCTATAAAGCAGGGACTCATAACCCTCTGGGGGAGTGAGCGTAATCCGGAAATTTCTGGGGAGCCAGAAGGGAGGCAAGGCAGGTGGCAGGGAGTGCAGCATCTCTGACTGCCAAGGAGAGCAGGAATTGCCTGGTGTTGCTCATGATGTATAGTCAACGGGAAAGAAGGTACAGGTTGGGTGCAGACCCCCCTCAAGAGCTAGGGACAGAGTGCAGCAAGTCTTGGGTAGCTGTTGTTAAAAATGGTGTCACACTATCTTCCTTGGCAAAGACATCCTTCCTTGCTTCTAGAGGTATTTACTTCCCCCCAGACAGTCTCTCAGAGACTAGAAGGGCTCTCCTATGATCCTTTGGCTCCTAGAAGGGTTGCCACAAACACTGAGGTACTATGGCTTTAATGTATAAGAAAAGATTGATCAGGGAATCCAGATCACCAGAGCCAGTGGCAATTTCTTGGATTTCACAGCTGCTTCATTCCTTTGAGCCACTTTCCCCTTCATCTTTCCCTCTTTCTCTGCTTTCCCCACTCCCCCATTCAAAGGTTCTTGTTACAAGGAGGCCAGAGTTCTTGACCAGGAACTTGGCAGGAGAGAACCGCATCCAGAAAGACAAACTCCTGGGCACTCATCCCTCAGTGAGAGATGGGAAGGCAAAGTCTGCTGCTTCTCCAGACCAGCCTCTGTGTCATCAGAGGCGGGCTGGCCTACCTGGGAGTGATGTTTAGCCAGAAGTTTTTGTCCCAACTGGGGGAAATACTTCTGTATATAAAGGAAAGGGGATCTGATGGGAGTTGGCATCTAGAGCTTCTCAAGTGTCAGGCAAAAGGAAGTGTACAACTGGAAAGAATTCAATTCATATTACCATTGTTATCAGTATCTTTATTCATCGGGGTCACAACATTTATTATTTTAGGACAACAATACGTTTGAGAACCCTTGCCATAAAGTCATCTGGCTTTCCTTCTCTCAAAATGAACATTTTCATCAATGTGCTTGGCAGTTGTGTGATTGAAGAACCAGACGAGGGAAGGACCAGCAAAGAGAAATGGTTTCTTCTTTTTTCCTGCTTTTATTTTTAACTAATTAGGCAAAACGAACAACAACAAAAGGCAAAAACAAAGAAAGGGAAAGGAATACATTTACTTACAACTAATAGACCTTGCACTAAAGTGAAGGTTGAAATGAAAATATGATATTTATAAAACAATAAAAAGGGCAAAACAAATTTTAAAAAAGAAAAACATAGGAAAAAGAATTCTAGTAGCCCCTTCTTTTTTTCCCCTTCTTTTTTTCCCTTAACCGCTAATTACTAATTAAATATTTTTATACTATGCTTTAGTCATCTGTGATTGCTAATTTCTGCTTAGATTGTTTTAATTATTCTTTCAATGGTTTCTCTTTTTCTTCAGAAACCATATTCTAAATCAGGGTTCCTCAATCTCACCAACTTTAAGATGGGTGAACTTCAACTCCCAGAATTTCCCAGCCAGCCATGCTGGCTGGGGAATTCTGGGAGTTGAAGT